CTGATGATACCAAGTTATGGGGCAAAGTTAGTACACCGGAGGGCAGGGAGCAGATTCAGGCTGCCCTGGACAGGTTGGATCAATGGGTAGAGAAAAATAGGATGCAATTTAATAAAGATAAATGTAAGGTACCCCACCTGGGAAGGTGGAATCTATCTTGGAGCAGGACCCACCAGGGGTCCAGAAATCCATGGGGTCCAGAGAGTCAATCAAGACCGTGTCCAAGAGGACTGAAAGCCAGCATCCCTATCAGTCATTTGATCAAAGATGTGGCAGGGGGGGATCGAAGTCACAGATGCGGGGAGCTTAATATGAATTTCTAAGTCCGCATGGTATGGTACGGGTTCTGGCTAAGCCCACATAGACCCAGCCCAGTAAGAGGATGCAATGCCATGTGCTGAAGGTGTTTTTAAAAGAAGGACTCAAATATGGTGGTCACTTGTGACCCACTATGCAGAATGGCCATATACTTTTGGCCATTCGCTGCCTTGGACCTCTGCCCTAGGGCCTATTAGTCCTTCAGGCAGTGAGTTTGAGACCAGGGCTTGGGAGTCTGGCAGGTTGTGGGGTGGAGCCAACTCCCCTTCTCCACCCATCCCTCATTTCCCACCCCGCATCAGGGGGCTAATGGCCCCTTGCACAACCACTCTTTGCAACACCTGCTCCAAGTGTAACAAATATGAGGACGCAGCCTCGCCTGTGTGCTGGAACATGCTAAGCAGTTAGCAGTATGCTCCCCCGCCATGGGATGGCCGTCCAAAAACGTCCTGTAGGCACTGCTGTGTGGTGATACCAGGGTTCTGGAGCTTAGCGGTCCAGATGACTCCAAAGGCAGGCTCCCTTAGCATGTCAAGAAGACGCCACCGCTTCTCTTCGTCTGGTGTCTGCCATGTCATCAGAGTTTCCTGTATGTGGGCAGCCCAGGACTCAAACCCTTCCTCTCCCGCAGGGAGTAGGAGATTTCCTGAGCAATCCTGTCAGCTCCCTGAGCTACAGGGTTATCAGACATAGTACATGTTAATCTAAGCTAAAGAGTGATTTCTGTTACAGATCAGATGTGGGCACTAAGTGCAGAAGGAATGGCTCGGGACACCATGTTGGAAAAGATGAGGACCCCTGCTCCGGACCCCACAGACCACAGTCCTGCGCCCCCAGCACCCTGGCCCCTTTGCTGGGGACTCCCCGCAGCGTCGCCCTCCTCAGCCCTGCTCAGCCCCTGCCTCAATCGGCTCAGCTCAGGGAGCTGACAGGAATCCTTCCCTGAGCGTTCAGGGCCATGTGCACACATCTCCTCCTCCTCCATCCTATCTGATGAAGGCACGATGCTGCTGGCTTTCCTGGGT